TTTTATGGATTAAATTGTACGTATTATACTTGAATAAATACGGTATGTCTTTTTTTTTTTTGGAGGTGAACTCCCAAACTCGCTGGTAAACATTTGGTAAACATGCGTGTTTCTGACCTGTGGAAGGCAGAGAAAAGACTGCTGGGGCTGAGCAGAACCGGACCCATTGGCAGCATGGTCCCCCTCTCATTGACCCAGGTCAGGTAGCCTCTCGTCATACCAGCCATACCAATGGCTCGCGCTGAGCAGTACATGAATTTATACCCATTCCTGTGAGAGATGATATGTTGTGTTCTCAGATCTAAGACAGTGAACTTAATCTGAATACATCGACAAATGAATACACTGCATGGATTCAGTTTTAACTTGGCTAACATTTCTATATTCTGTTCCTCTCCTAGCCTACGGGCCTCTCTAAAAATAAAAAGCAATGAGTGAGTACAGGTTAGTGAAGGCCACACTCACAGGCTGACTTTGTTGTAGAGTCGTGCAATTCCCTGATGGGTCCAGTCTTTACCTAAAGTGGGAAGGATGTGACCTAGAGTGTCCGACCTAAAGCATAATCCAAGAGAGAGAGATTAATTCAGATGGTTTTTAAAATCTGATTTCACTAGATGCCTTTAAACCAGGTCAAGGCTGCCACCTGCTGGTCCTAAGCAGGAACTGCACAGACAGTCTGCTTCGTTTTTGTCTCCTACCTGGTGATGGTTCCATCAATATCTGAGATGACGATCTTATCATCCCAGCTCCACAGATAGATGGTGCCATGGCAGCGACATGTGCCTTGATACTGGGTGGTCACGCTGAACACCACCTCGTTAGGACCCTCCTTTAGCTGCAGGCTAGCCTGCAAACAGACAATTTATTCCCTTGTGACTTGTTTCCCTGCTAAGTTTAATAAAACTAGCTGCAGGAGGAAACTCTGTACCAGTTGGTCTGAAGTAAGCCGAAGAGTCTTCTTATAACAGACGCTGCTGGAGCTCAAAAATGCCTCTGACTGACTGGATCCTGACACCTGATTGGATGATCTGTGGTCCTCATCACTAGAGGAAGATTCATCCTTTAGCCTGAAAAATCCAACGCAACCAGGTAGGTTTAAGAAGAAAACTGACAATATTTAGTTTGTATGCGAGACTAAATTGTAGTGATGTAAAGATGAGACCGGTCTCAGGTGTGTGAAGTCACCTGTTGGGTTGAGTCATAGTGACTGAGTTGTCCTCTCTGTCTCCAGCTGTTTCAGATGTTGTTTCCTAAAGTACAAAAAAAGACTCTTGACTCTTTGTCTCAAGTCTTTTTCCATCCTCTGATACTCCTGGTTTACATAAATAAAACTGAGGGCAAATGAAATCAAGCAACCAGTGCTTCTCTTTGTGGACTGACCGACTTGGAGTCACTGTTCCTGCTCCTCCATGAGAACCACCAGCGTCCTCCCTTCTTTGGCATCTTTTCCTTCACTATGGTCTCCACTGATGCCTGAAGACAACGATGGGTATACAACTCAAAACTGACAGGAAATCTAACTCAAATCTAGCAAGCATAAAGCAAGAAAAATGGAAAAGAACACAAACATTACATGAGACCAGACGTTAAATAACTAAAAAAATGTGGCATGTGGACGAAAAGCAAAAATGCAAAGAACGTTCTGGGAACAAAAAACAACAACAACTGAACATCATGGTTTGACAGCAATGAGATGAAGTGAATAAAAATAATGTTTTTTTTTCTACACAGGAAGGAGAACTATCTGAACATTCATTAGCAGAAGATGGATCAAACAAGAAAAGGCATGCTCAAACACGCAAAGTGAGGAAACATCATACAGGCTGGGAGCTGCTGGAGCCAAACAGACCAGGGAGGCAATATGAGAAGAGGCCAAAAACAGAAAACACATAACTCAAACACCAACACTTGGAAAACACAAATAACAGATGGGTAGAAAGTGAAGAAGGGGAAAAAATCAGGGAGAGGATAGAGAAATGACAATCGAGTGTTAGAACAACACATTTAACACAGCGTAGCAATCCAGTCGGCCATCTTGTTTATTTGAGTTAAATTAAAGCTTTAAAACACACGTTTGCCAGACACCAGCTAAAACTGAGCCAACAATATTGAACCTGAGGTCCAGAAATGAGTTGTGTTAACTACAAGTCTTGGGTTGGATTTTCATTAAGTAATAAAAATATGTTAACAAATGACAAGAATATCATATCATATCATATCATATCATATCATATCATATCATATCATATCATATCATATCAAATCATATCATATCATATAT